TTTTTTTTTTTTTTTAAAGCAGAGAAATAGATGCCTTGAGCTTTTAGCAAGACATAAGCTGCTCATTTTGCCTCTGAAAATCCCCTAAATCAACCCCAGAAAAGTTAATTTTAATTTAAAAAAAAAGACTTAACGTTGCGCCTCTTTCTGGTTGAAATCGACTCCTGCGTAAAACAATTGCAAACCCCATGGTATTAGCAATCTCTGATTTCAGCCATTTAATTTTTGTTTCCATATTTCAGTATGGGTTGTCTGTAAATTCCAATGAAGATTTTGGCTGTTGGGGTTTTACAGAATTTAAACTACTGATCTCTACCTGTTGCTCAGTGAGTAAAGCATGCAGAACTATCCGGCTCCTCTTTCAGGGTAATGCTGCAGGGCAGATCCCCTTCCTCCCTGGAGAAGAGAGGCTCTTAACAGAACAGAATAACAGAGTTGGAAGGGAACTTGTAGGTCATCTAGTCCAACCTCCGCCCTAGCAGGAGAACCTACACCAGGGGTGTCAAACTCGCGTCGTCACGGAGTCGTCACATGACGTTTTGTGACTTTTTTCTCCTTTGCTAAACCAGGCGTGGGCGGGGCCAGTATGCGACACATCCAGCACACAGGCTGCAAGTTTAACACCCCTGCCCTATGCCATTTCTGACAGATGGCAGTCCGGTCTCCAGGTTCTTATTCCATGGGTGGGATGCTACTGGTTCTGCCCAGCTCTATGGAACCGGTAGCTCTGAAGAGCAGCAGACACAGAACCGGTTCTGTGTCTGCTGCTGTTTGGCCCACTCACCCACCAGGCTCTTATCTGTCCTTTATTTCCTGCTTTTTCAACCTCAGCTCTTTTGCACAGCACAGCTGAGGTTGAAAAAGCAGTAAAAAAAGCAGTTTTTCAAATGCTGCGCACCCATGCTCAGCGCTTATCTGCAAAGCGCGCATGCACGCGCAAAACGTGGTCACCAAACCGGTAGTAACACCGGTTGAATCTCACCCTTGCTCTATTTTGAGTGTTTCTCAACCTTGGCCACTTTTGAGATGTGTGGACTTCAACTCCCAGAATTCCCTAGCCCGTACATGAGAAACACTGCAATCATCTGCCATAACGTTTTTTTTTGTGTCCCTCTCTCTTCCGCAGCATAGACAAGGTGTCTCGCATCACTTCCCCCGTGCTGTTCATTCATGGCACCGAAGACGAGGTGATCGACTTCTCTCACGGCTTGGCCCTTTACGAGCGCTGCCCGAAGGCAGTGGAGCCCCTCTGGGTGGAAGGAGCTGGCCACAACGACATTGAACTCTACAGCCAGTACCTGGAGCGCTTACGCAAGTTCATCTCACAAGATCTGTCTGGTTAATGCAACTCCACCTGCCTGAGCTTCTGGCAAGGACCGCCTGCCTTGACTGGGCCTGGGGAAACGGGGGAAGCATTGGTGGCTTTCGAAGGAGAAGGCCACCGATGCTGCGAGCGCCATGTTCCCCATCTGCAAAACGGGAGTCGTTCTATTCATCCCTCCTCTCTGGCAGGCTTAGCCTGCGCAGAGCTCTTGAGTCTCTGCCGGCGGTTCTTCCCCCATCGCCGAGGGCCCTTTCCAGCTGTTCTCATTTCCAGCTGCTGCCATGGCTGAAGAGGGGCCTGAGACGGGAGTCTCTAATTGCACTTCCTCGCGGGACTCCAAAGGACTCGAGCGTTGCAGACTGTTCTAAACCGTGAACATCTCCATCAGGGCTATCCTCTTGTGGCCTCCATCCATCTCCTCACTTCCTGTTTCAGATCCCGTTTCCTTAACACGCCGTGTGGTGACCCATTGATAGCAATAAGCCATATAGGCAGGGTGGGGCGGGAGGCAAAGCACCTTGCATGCTGGCCAGAAACGGCTTGCTTCAGTTTGGCTGTCCAGCCCACTTGCAGCCCTTGAAGGACAATTGAATTTCATTCAGATTTCCCCGGGGGTTGAGGATGGATAACAACCACCTGGATTTTTTCACCTGGAAGCCTGCAAAAGAACTGTGTGTGGAATGCAGCAAGGCTGTTCTATGCATCTCGGCATTTTTTTGGGGGGGTCGGGGGAGTCATTTACCAGCTTCATCACAACTCCTAGATACTATTGTTTTAATATTCCATATCCTGTCCCCTCCAGATGTCCCCGAGGAATGGATTACACTTTACTTAATTCTGGGTATTCAGGCAATGGGGAGAGGTCGGGGTGGGAAGTAAGGGAAGAATTCTCCATTCATTCATTTTGAAAGAGGAATAAACAAAACAAAAAAAAATGAAAGATCCACATGCGTTTCCCACTAAATGTTTCTGGGAGAATTGGATAGGATGAATGAGTTGGAAGTTTGTGGAAGTGTGTAGGTCAGGAAATGGACAGTCCCAGAATTCCTGTAATGGTACTTGATTTTTTTTTTTTAGGACAGTGTTTCTCAACCTTGGTGACTTTAAGACTTGTGGACTTCAATTCCCAGAATCCCCCAGCCAGCCATACTGCCCTTACTTTGGGGCCGCTTTAGTGCAAGTGTGAATTACTGTGTACAAGCTTCCCTGTTAAATCCTTTTCTCTGTTTCTTTACCTCCCTCCATCTATAGCCTAATTTCAAATAGAAAGCCCCTTAAATGGCTTAATGCAATGCCCCCCCACACCTTTTAGGTACCAGGGACCGGTTCCGTGGAGAGAAGATTTTCCTTGGACCAGAGGGGATGTGCAGGGGTGGGATCCCACCGGTTTGGTCTGGTTCTATAGAACCGGTAGCTCCGAAGAGCAGCTGACACTGAACCGGTTCACTGAGATGAGGTTGTGGTCTGCTGTTTGGCCCTCCCGCCTGCCCAGGCTCTAGGCCCATGATGGCGAACCTATGGCATGCGTGCCACAAGTGGCACACAGAGCCATTTGTGCAGGCACGCGAGCTCCAGCCAAACTTACCTGCGCTGCGCATGCACATGCCTCCCAGCTAATTTTGGGGCCGTTTGAGGCCATTTTCGCCCTCCGGAGGCTCGAGAAAAGCCTCTGCAGCCTCGGAAGGCCAAAAAAATGGGCCTTCCAAAAATACTGGAAGTGCCAAAACGGGCCCATTGTCAGCCTCCAGAGGCTTCCCTCGAGCCTCTGGGAAGGCGAAAATGGCCTCAAACAGGCTCCAGAGGCCCTCCGGAGGCTGAAAAATGGGCCTTCCGCAAATACCTTGAGCCTTCCCTTGAAGCTTCCCTTGAGCCTCTGGGAGGGTGAAAACAGCCTCAAACTGGCCAAAAATCAGCTGGAAGGCACACGTATGCACAGTGCAGGTAAGGGGGCGGATCAGGGGTATTGAACGCGTATGTGTGGGGGTTGGGTTGCATTGTGAGTGCCGGCACACACGTTTTCATCACACCACAACATAAAGGTTTGCCATCGCTGCTGTAGGCTGCCCTTTAGTGGCCGTGTTTTCCTTCTCAGCTGCTTTGCGCGGCACAGCTGAGTGCCGCTTGTCAGCTGGAGAAGGTAAATGCTTGCCAGAGCCGGTAGCGCACACGCACATACAGTGCGCGTTTGACACACATGCGCATGCTCCCCAAACCGGTTGTTATGCCAGTTGGATCCCGCCCCTGGGGGTGTGGTTTCACATGCTGCATGCATCCTGTGGATGGGGCTTCACTTGTTTGCATGGTCCGGTTTCTGGCATGCCACGGCCCGGTGCCTATCCACGAACCGAGGGTTGGGAACCCCTGGCTCCATGGGCTTATTTGCGTGTGCAGACTAGTGATCCTCTAAGAACAGTATGTATCATAAACCGGAAATCATTGTGTTGGCAAATTAATGTCAATAAGTCAATATTTACTTTCCTAACTAAAGAAACAGAATGAAAAAGGGTGAACAAAAAAATAATCAGTTGGGAGCAGGAGTGACTTCTGGTTTCCTGCTGGCTTCCCCATGGACTTTGCTTGTGGGAGGAGGGGAGGGAATATCGGATAACGCGATCAATTGACAGTAGAGACACTGCAACAACCACAACCTTGTCAATAAAACGGGACTGAATATCATGGAAGCTTCAATTCCACAGAAGTCATGGCTCCCGGGTTTTTTTACTCGTTCTTTCAATTCACACATTTTAGGTACCCTGATTCAAAAATTGTTCCGTATAATTGTTCACGATTTCAGCTAACTTGAGGATACAAACAGATAAAACAGAACGAGAGCTTGAATAGAATATAGATAGATTTTTTTTTTAGTAACTTCACAATTCGAGTAATTATATTCTGCTAAGAGAGGTTCAATTACTGAACAAAGGATAAACTTTTAAAGGCAGGAAACATAACACAATAAAAGCAACATGCACCACGAACATCAGATGAAACGCATTAAATCCAGGAAGAAAATATGCTCAACTTGCAGCAACTCCCCCCAAAATGGTGTATGGGAATTTTAATGGTTTGGGAACTAAGTGAACATGTGCTTCAGGTGGGAGTGGAAATGTGGCTGTGGTATCCACAAAACAGGGACATCCATGAGGTATCAAAAAAGAGTGAATATAAAAGGGTGAGGTACAGCCATTATCTACTTAAAAAAAAAACCTGTTCTATGGATGCTGTTGGCCTGAACTAACAAGAAACATCAAGAGCTTATGTGCAGAACGTTAACTGGAGCAGACATAAGAAGACTAACTGGGTTTAAATATCACATTATAGTCTCAAATGGTTTTATTTGGTTTGGCGTGGGGCACCACATCAGCTTTTGTGTTTCATAAACCATTATTTATAACAGAATAACTGTTACAGAGTTAGAAGGGACCTTGGAGGTCTTCTAGTCCAGTGGTCACCAACAGGTGGGCTGGGGACCACTGGTGATCTGCCAGAAAATGTTGGTGGTCCGCAGAGAAATGTCCCCCCCCGCAAAGCAATTAATCCAAGCTGCGCGGGAACACAAGGCTGCACTGCTCACCTGGCCTGCCACCCACTGGCCCCCACCCTTCGGCCGAGCGCAAACCTTACCTTGAGTAGAGCCACGCAAGCTGGAACTGGAAGGTAAAACCAATGGCGGGGGAAGGAAATCCGCCCCAGGGTGGTTTGCTGAGGGTGGGAAAGTCAGTCCCATATTCCAGAGCTGCAGTAGTCACAGGACTGGCCCTTTGGTCATCCCGGAGCAGCTGCTCCAGTCCATGGCAGGCCGGTGCACCCGGGTGGAGGAGCAGCTGCTCCGGGATAACCAGTCCTGTGACTCCTGCAGCTCTGGAATATGGGACCGACTTTTCCTACCAACGTCAGCAAGCCACCATCAGTCAAAATTCATATTAGTGGTTCGCGGGATTTAAAATTATGAGTTTGGTGGTCCCTGAGATCCAAAAGGTAGTCCAACCCCCTGGTCAGGCAGGAAATCCTATACCAGGGCTGTCAAACTCCTGGCATCCATGGGCTGGATGCGTCACGTGCTGGCCACGCCCATGCCCGTTTAGTGAAGGGGGGAAAGTCCCGATAATGTCACGTGACGCCGCCATGGCAACATGAGTTTGACAACCCTACCCTAAACCATTTCAGACAAGTGGGTTGTCCAATCTTTTCTTGAAAACCTCAAGAGGCAAGTTGTTCCACTGGTTAATTGTTCTCGTTGACAGGAAATGTATTGCTAAGCCTGTTGCATAAACCCAGTCTCCTGTAAGTTTGGCCAGTAAAACCATCACCAAACAAACCAAAGTTTTGTGTGTCTTGCAAATCTAGTCTGCAGCTAGAACAAGTTCACCTCTCGGTTTGATCTGTAAAGATCACAGGGTGATCTCCCTTGCAGGGCTGTGCTTATACCACAAGTTTTTTTTTTTTTTTTTACACCAGTCAAAGGTGTAAAGAAGGAAGAACAAAGAAAAAGAAGGGCAGACATTTTTATTTATTTATTTGATTTGTCAATCACAAGATAATAGGTATAAGTATAAACATAGTTATGAATACATGAAATGGATTCATATAAGAAAAATACACGTTCCTTCCTCCTTTTTACCAGCCACTTTCAAGCCCACTTCCCCTGGGGAGTGAATGAGGATGAAAAGAATTTTTCCCTCCCTTTTGCTCTTCCTTGGGTAAGTTTCCCACTTGTCCCCGAGAGCCTCTTGATTCGCAAAGCTGATGGAACAGCCTGGAGCAACTTAATCCCGTGAGAGAAAACAAGGGTTGTGCCAAAGAGACATGTATTTTTATCCTCCTAAGAGAACCCAGCTTCCTGTTGGAAAAAAAAAGCAGGAGGAAGGGAGAATGGCTGGCGTGAGCTTGCTGGCCACAGGAAACTGGGCTGGGGGACAATAATTTCCTTGTTTTCAAAAGGAGACTAAAAACGCAACCCACCACTGAACAGCTTTGGAAGATTTTAAAACCGAATTCATGACTGAACAGAACAGAATGACAGAGTTGGAAGGGATCTTGGAGGCCTTCTAGTCCAACCCCCTGCTCAGACATATAGCTGCCATGATGATGTGAGTTTGACACCCCTGCCCTATACCATTTCAGACAAGTGGTTGTCTAATCTCTTCTTAAAAACTTCCGGTGTTGGAACCTCTACATATTCACCCTTAAAATGGATGTGATACAGGCACCACTTTGTGACTGAGGTTTCCTAGACGTGTGGAACAGTCCCACCCTCCTTGGCCTGAATGGCTGGGGAAGGGGAATACCTTAGTTAGGCCAACACCCACCCACCCTGCTGTGATTAACCCATAATAACCATCCAGTTATCAAGCAGCATCCTCTTTCTCTAATGCAGGAAATCCTTGACTTGCAATCACAATCAGGACCAAAATTTTTGTTGCTAAGCAAGGCAGTCGTTGAGTCACACCCGTGGTGGGATTCAAATAACTTAACAACCGGTTCTCTGCCCTAATGATATCTTCCAACAACCAGTTCACAAAACTGCTCAGAAAGTTAACAACCGGTTCTCCCAAAGTGGTGCGAACTGGCTGAAACCCACCACTGAGTCACACCCAATTGAAAGAACTTCTATGCCACCATTAAGCAAATCACTGCAGTTGTTAAGTAAATCACATATTAAATAAACCAGGCCTCCATTGACTGCTTCTTGGAAGCTGGCTAGGAAGGTTGCAAAGGATAAATACATGACCCAGAAAGCAGCAATCATTGCAAACACATACTGGTTGACATGCATCCGTGATCATGTAAGTGCAGGGATGCTTCAATGGTCATAAGGGTGAGGATTGGTCATACTTTACTTTTTAAGTGCTGTTGTAATTTCAATCGGTCACTAAGCGAATCGTGTGAGTTGAGGATTACTTGTAACCCCAAATCTGCTGGATCACA